AGTCAAGCAACCAATTGCTTCCGTTTTTCATTTAAAACTTTTCTAAATGTGGTGCTGCTGGTAGTGATCTTGATGCTGCCTATTAGCGGTGCTTGTCGGGAATGCAGTCGCATATGCCTGTAAGTTGAGGATTTCGATGTGTCTGGCTGTCGCATTGAGTCGCTTCGCTGCCTCTAACTGCCTGTGTTGAGGGGGTCAGTCGTGCAGGCATTGAAGCGTATCACGTGAACCGAGCGACCTGGTGACTGTCGCTAAGCCCTAACCACCAATATACCAATCCATCAATACTTCACTCATCAACAAAGTTGCCATACTACAGCGCTATGGTCAGTAACCTTAATTGACCAACAATATACTCACACATACATACACACGCACACACAGAAGCTCAGCGAAGGCGATAATCGAGCAACATATGGCTCATCATGAAAATCCGTGTGCGCGTGTGTGTCTGTGTGTGTTTGCGTCCGTGTGTGTCTGTCTGTGTGTATGTGTGTGCGCCTGTGTGCTTGTGTGTAAGTTTGTGTGTGTGTGCCACATGTGTGTTACTCTGCTATCTGCTGCAGCGTTCATTGGCTTTGAACATTCGCATTAAATCAATATTATGTACAGTAACCAAACATTTTGATTGAAGTTGCCAAAGTGTCAAAAAGTGTTGCCAGAGACATTATCGATTTTAAACCAAGCAGACACACAATATATACAGACACACACACATATTTATATAAATATATATATATATATTTACAGACACACACACACACTCATACAGACATGCTCCCGTGTTAAACACAACTCGATAATTTGTCCGTAGACAAACAAAAAAAAACAAATAAAAAATATCTAGTAGCAAATTACCGAGTAGGAGATTTCACAACCCAATAGTGTGTCTGTCAAACAAAAAATAATAAAAAGAAAAACCCGATGTCAGCACAGCAGGATTCGAACCAACATCCCCTCGCCAACGCGCCGATGCAATGCTAATAGAATCAATTGACGAAATAAATTAATATATAAATCGACAACATTTTGATTTGGCCAAATAGTTTATAGCATCTAATAGAGAATTTTTTAGAGGGCCAGAACCCCCAACAGTTTTGTAAATATATTAAGCTGAAGGTAATAATGTACAGTCGACGACGTTAGTACCAAGAGAGTAAACAAAAAAATGTGAAAAATATTCCATTTACCTATTGAACTGTAAGAACACTATTACACAAATTTACAATATTTTATAAAATTTATATTTGTGTTTTAAAAAGAAACACTCTTGTATTTTTCCTTCGAAACACCCTATTACGTTACCAAAATAGCATTTCTAGCATTTGTAAGTGTAGTAGCCTTTGCATAGATTTGCCTTAAAGTTTAAAAAACAAATATGAATCAAGGCCCCACTGCGCGTCCCCAGGAGTTGAACTCATAACTGCTCGCCTTTAGCAACAGCAATATAATAGCAGCTGACCACTTAAACATAATTAAGATTTCAGAAAAAATTTAATTCTCCAGCTCATATAGGTTCTGCCGGTTCATACGGAGAGACGGACGGATGTTCAATCAGACGGACATAGCTTAGTCGACTCATTGTCCTGATCAGCACATAATGAAATTGGGATGAGTCGGATTTGCTTCGAGATATTATATAATTTGTTTTAGTCTCGGTTAAATATGTGCGATGTTCTTCTGGCAGTAGTGTCTCCAATTATGACCTTACGGTCTTAAGTTCCTACTGGGTTTGTTATCATAAATTAAGTACGTGACAATAAGATCGCGCCAATTAATTGAGTGTTATTCGTGAATTGACTGAAGCAAAAAATCTATCCTTTAGCGTTGCCTTACACTAAGTCGGAATTTACTATGGAGGCTACTTGGAGCCTATGAGGTTTATAAAGTATGAATATAATAAATAAATTATTTCTAATAAGTTGTTTTTGGTGAATCTTCATTTTAAGTATTAATCTAATATAACGATTGTCAAATCAGTTCATATCACAGCTTATCTCTTGTAGCCTGATTAGTATATATTTATATAGATAAATAAATATATATATATATATATATATATATATATATATATATATATATATATATATATATATATATATATATATATATATACACCTATACATAGATCTTCTTCTACATTCTTCATAAATATTTGAAATCGAAATTTCTCTTAAGATGTACGCTTAGATATCTGATATCTGAGCTCAATATGCTATACCATTTTAGTCGTAATACCTTTGAGTGGCTAACAGGTATTGCCTAGCATATCACTCTTGACTAATGAACTTTTACTAGTTTGCCCTTTGCCCTTTGCTGCTAAATATTCGCCGAGGAGCTTAGCCTCTGTTGCAGTACATCTGTCCACTTGCTCAGCAATACGAAACTCGCTCGCTTTGTGTGTTTGTCCTTATGTATGAATTCGTGTGTGTGTGTGTGTGTGTATGGTTGAGGTACTACTGTGGCACTTAATCTCATATTTTACTCTTCAGTGATGAGACTTGCTTTGAGTTGCAAATATTTCAAAAGAATCCTCGACTTTCTGAGTTATCATTTTTACCTTTTTCTCATTTGTAACTATAGAAACTAACAGATTGCAAAGCACGTAATTAAGCAAAAATATCAATTGAATGCTTTGTTAATGGAAGAGCGATGAAGGTCCTTTAGCTGCCCAAACAGAAGACTCGAAATTGTGCATTTGAAATCGCATAAACAGATGCAGACTATAAATGTATTCATCTGCATGAAACATAAGGACAAACGTATACTTCTTAATCAAAAGATTTGAGAGTGGCTTAGGCAAGATTTATTTGAATAGAATTTAGAATATAAAGATTCGAAGAAGAGTATACGATTAATTAAAAGTGTAAGCGCCATATATACATTTTGAGACTTGTTAGAATAGGATGTCCAGTTAATCTAGTCTACAGATTATAAAAAGCAGAACAATTTGCATTTGAGTCATGTATACAGTATAGGAACTACTCTCATGGTTAATCATGATTTGATTGCAAAAAGATATTTGAATTTTGTAAATATACTTTTATATCATGGAGATTGCTGATGACTGTGGACTTCTTATTACTTACACTTTTCTCCGAATTTAGAGATGTTAGAGAACTTTGACTGGATCTCGTTTGCCGTCTAAAACACAAAATCGTTGATGCCTATGGGACTTGAGTTAAAATTTTCCCTTTCACTATAAATTGAATTTGCTTTAAGATCTTTTCTAGTCGAGAATGCCCACACAGAATGCTCTACAAAATTGAGAAAAGTCCGACTTTGCTTATTACAGAGTCTCAATAAGACCTGAGTGGTTAAGCCGAAGAACAGAGAGCTCGAAGGTAAAACATTATTTTCGTATTTTAGCAGACGTAGCTATGTAGGCGTGAAGTAGTTGCATTGGGTTAGTAAATGCATTAATGTGTACGGACTTAGATGAAATTTAAGCATATTATGAAGTTGATGTAATCAGAATTGAGCAATAGGGGTATAAGCTAATTATAGGGTAGCACACACACGCAAAGCTAAAGGGCCTACCTAGATGACTGTTAGAGAGTTGCAATAAGAAAGGTGAACATTAATTTGGAGAGAGGGAGAAAGAGAGAGCTAATCTAGAGAGAGAGCTAGCCTTGCGGTCAGGTTGACTTTTTTAATTGTGAATCCATTGAAAATGGAAAATCCATGACAATTTCATTGAAGTCCGTTAACACAGAAGGTATTAAACAAATTGTTTAGTCAATTTGCAAAGCCACGTGGCAATCAGCGCCAAGCGTACGCATTGCTCCTATACATTCTAAAACAAACATTCAAATCTTTTATATTCTATGAATCGAAATAGTGATGTGGCGATGTAGGTAGAGGTGATGCGCCTTGTCAAAGTGCTGTTGTCCCAATGTTGGCTTTTGTTCGTTTTATCGCTTCGGTATCTCCTAGTCGGGTCCTCCCGACTAGAACTTTCTTACTCGTTATCCTTTGCTTTGCCTTCCCTTTCGGCTGATATACTTCAGTGTTTGCAGCTGCTGATTCTATGTATATATGTATATAAGCTGCCATCGGCAGCTACTCAACAATTCCACACTTTCACTTTGTGGCATTGTGCACTCAACTGTGTGCACCTATGCGGTGCATACACACAGACGCACACATACACGAAATATTTACAGTAGTACGTTAAAATATGGTACAATCATAGCATAGAATCCAGCTCAATCACATGTGGGAGTTCAATTAAATGAACGTGCAAAAGAGTCGGCTGAAAATGCCCAGATTTGCCTTGACTTGCAGCAGCAACAACAATTGTTGCACTCGCATAAATACACAAACACACTAGCACCTACATACAGACCTGGGGCATATACATATATATTTATAAATACATATATCCCAAAGCGCCCGGAAGTCACTTACAGCTAACAACGGAAGTTGCAAACGATTGCTGCTTGCTGCTGCTGTTAGCTGGTTTTGCTGTTGTTGCTGTTGCTTGTGCGTTTTATAATCGCTTTTGAGCTGCGTACAGCATGGGGCAGGAGCCGGCTGTATCGTCTGGACAGCCAAGCAGACTCGGCTGGCACTCGTGCGCCCTTACCCGAGTCCTAGCTGAGACTCTGCAGCTGCCACTGCCATTGCCACTTGGTTGCACGTTCGTTTAGTCATTGAACGGTTTTCCAGCGCTTCGCACGTTCACAGCAACAGCGATTAATTTCATTTGAGACTTCAAAGTGACTTTTTGTTTTGGTTTGCTTTCTCATTTTGGCGCGCATTTGTGATTTGTTATAAAAATTTGCATTTGCATTTTGTCACTGAAATTGATTTATTTTTCTAGTTTTTTTTTTGCACTCAAGTCAAAGTCAAACACCAGACGAAATGCGTGATCATCCGGCGGTACCAAATGTGTTTCGTGTTGCCTCATCGCACAGCATCAATAGTATGGGCGTAGCAGCCACGCCTCGCAGTAATAATATGCAGCAGCAGCAGCAGTTACTAACAGGCGGCAATATCAAGAGTGCTAAGAGCAACGGCTATGAGCAACAGCAAGTTGCACAGTTGGAACCACAACCGCAACAGCAGCTGGCTAAGCATCAGTTAACCACCAGCGCATCCATTGAGCAGACTCGTCAGCCGATGCAGCAACAGCAATCACCGTACGCAACGTTGCCTCGCGGTGGTCCGCGACGCACGCAACAGCAGCAGCAGCTATATCCCAAGCAGCAGCAGACGCCGCAAGAATCACAAAAACATCTGCAAACAGGCGTCATCAACACGATTTCAGGCAGTATTCCTGCGACGGGCTTTCAGTCGCATTCTGACAGCTTCAGCGACTTGCAACTGAACAATTTAACCCGACACAACAACATCAATTCCGCCAACAGCAGCAACACTAACGATAAACGGCAGCAACAGTTGCTGTTGCAGCAGCAGCAGCAACAGCAACAACAGCAGAATCGACAAGTCTCCTGCAAAGCTGTTGAACAGCAGCAGCCACAGCAGTGGGCATCATTATCAGCTGAGGATGCTAGCACCGTTCTGGAAGCCCAGACGGGATTCGCCAGAGGCGGTTACCTGTGGCTACTGACACCTGTTGCAGCTAGGTGAGTGCCATGCATTACATATATTAACATACGCGCAAGTATGTCACGAAATCAACTCATTTTTAGATCAACAAGGTCAAACTCAACTTTCGCATATTGCTTCCGCTTGAAGTCACGATAATTTTCAATTATTTTCTAATATATATATATATATATATATATATATATATATATATATATATATATATATATATATATATATATATATATATATATATATATATATATATATATATAATATAATAATATAATTTACGTATATATATTATTTTTTGATAATATTTATATTTGTGTATATTTTATGCTTTCAGCAATATTTTCAATTTAAAGCTCAAGTAGTTCATTAAAATGTTATTTGCTTATAATTAAAAACAAAATAAATAATATTTGAAATGAAATATTTTTGTATTTTAACTTTTTATTTAAATTAATTCTGCTTTTCTATAATATTTTAATAATATTTTACGTATATTTTACGTATGCAGGAAATATTTCTTAAGGAAATAGCTCTAATATTTTTATATTTTTGTATTTATAATATTTAATTATTTTTATTCTAAATATTTCGGAGTATATTTTTTTATTGTGAACAACTCTAACCTGAAATATTTTTATACATCGCTAGTTTTCTTTTTTAAATAATATGTATATCATTTAAATAGTCCTTTGAGATAAGTTACGCAGATTAATTTTGATTAAATTTTTTATTTTTCATTTTGACTGATTTCTTTTGCCTTTGTTAACATTTATCTGGAATTTCACAATAATTCTACAAAATATAAATATATATATATATGACATCTTGAATTTTGTAAACAGGAAGTGTTTAAAAGTGTGTGGAGAGGCGATAAGCCGATAAAGAACCCAAATATCCACAAATCATACAAAATCATCTAGAACATCTAAAGAGAAAAGTATCGAATAATCATGATAGCGTTTGCCATGCTCTTAATATGTATAAATTAAGTCACGTATCGTACTATGTTTGAAAGGTATTTTTTATTCGGAATCCTCTCCATTTAACTCAATGCAACCTTTACAACGATCAATTAATTTATGCATAGACTCTTCTTGAACACCTTTGTCACGTCTGTTTGAATGGCTCGAATATCATTGGAAAATGCTCCTTTCTTGGCAGTTTTCAGTTTATGGTGTTCATGGTGATAGATCTGAAGAATACGGAGGGTGGTCGATGACACAAATCTGTTTTTTCATCAAAAATTCATTAACTTTTTAGTCTTGTAAGGTGGTGCAATTATCATTTGCTCTTTGTATCTTACGACACAAGCTTAAAACTTTCTGTTTAAAAAAAAAATCGATTTACATGAAGTTGGCTTCGTTTGAGAGGTGTATCTTTCTATGCGTTGTTATCAACGTTCAATAGATGGCGTTACGTGTTCCATTATTAAAATAAACAGTCCCCTTATTTATTTGAACATAAGCATTGTGTCTGGAATTCTGATTTTTAATAGGCTTCGGGTATCAAAACAATTGTAACTTTTCAGTCAATTTTCTAGCATGGCCTGCCTTACGTCTGCCCTAACCGGATTGTTTATTTGGGAAACCAATTTTTGAATGGAACGCTTGCATTCCTTTAAAGGGAGGAATTCTTAACAAAGAATGGCAAATATTGTAAGAATTGCCCGAGTGCGAACTTTGGAAATAGAAATCCAAATTGAGATTTTCGTTGCGTTGCAGGCTGTATGGCCGAGCTGAGTTTCAAACTTTTCGAAATTAAGCTCAAAAGTTTGAGATCCTGAATGTGAAATGGCTGTGAGGTGAAGGGTGTGGACTTTTTAAAGTCGAATGGCAGCTGAAGTGTGTGGGCATCTTGACTGCAAATAGTTTGCGAACAAATTAAGCCCACTTTGCAGTGATTTGTGTCGCTAACACAATTATTTGTCGGCAGCAACAGAAAAGAGAGAGAGAGCGAGAGCGATTTTCAAGATGTGAGAATGCCGAGCTGCCTATGCCTGTGACTCCCTCCTACATGGGCGGCGCAACTGATGTCCTTCGTGTTGTCCTGCTTCTGAGTTCTGCTGTCTGCTACTATTCAGCGTTGTTGCTGTTATTTATTATAGCTGAACACGTGGAAAGATGTACGTGCAAAATATAAGTCGCGTTCCTTGGCAGAGGCAGTGGCAGCAGCAGTAGCAGTGGCAGCGGCAGCGGAAGTGGCAGCGGGAGTGGCAGCGTCAGTGGAATTGAATGTGGTTGTGGATGAGTAGGTTAGTGAGTTGATGATTCAGTTGGTTGACAAATGTCAGAAGGCAATATATGTATGTATGTACGTATCTATATGATATGTAAATATATGTTCATGACCAAACCTGAACCATTGAAAAACTTCTGAAGCTATACCCCACTGATTGAAGAGTTACCTTACTTTTAGGATGTGTGAAAAGCGCAATCAGAGAAAATTTAATGGCTACCAAAATAGTGCACTTTAACCTTGGCAGCGAGGGGTTTATGCAAATTAGACTAAGAACTCGCTCAAAAGTGTAAATGCTTAATTTGACCTCCAGTGTGCAGACGTAATGGCTCCCATTTCTATATATTAGTCGCATACTTTCCTCCTGACAGCCTCTCTTTTTTCTCTTCTCTTCTTCTGCCAGTCTTCCTTCTTGCCCTTTTCGTCTGATATTTGTGCGCAGTTTTTTTTATGCTTTTTAAGCCAACAATTTGCGAGGCATTTATTTGCATATCAACCGGGATGTGGCTGAAAGCCCATTAACTTTTTCGCTATTACCTTTTCGTTTTGTTTTTTCATATATATTTTGTACCCTGCACCTAGTTCGTCTGCGCGTACTCGTCTGATAGACCTAATAGCTGACCTAGAGCTGTCATGTTTTCCTTTGCATAGCATTAGGGTATTGTGTTCCCAAACTGAGTGTTTCATCCTCTAACTCGACGGTGTCTGAAAGTGAGTGACAAATCAAGAGTGCTACTAATTCCAATAAGCATATTGCTGCACCTGTTAGCTCAATTAATGACATTCAGCTATTGTATCATTCAATAAGGCTTGCCATTTGACCAGGAAGAACTTTGTATAAACAAAAAAACCATACATAGGCGATGCAGTGGTGGAAGTGTACTAGACTCAGTTATCTGTCAACTTATTGGCATGAACGTAGCTATCAAATGTAATCAGAAGCAATGCAATATTAGGAATTTAGCCATGTCATGGCAGACATACTTAGCATTCCTATTCGCTCATTTCATACGCGGCTGCTAACGACATAGATATCACATTTTTTTAATCAGCAGTCAGACAAGAGAGCACCAAGACACACACACGCACACATGCACATACATGCTGTGTGTGTGGGCATTTCGCGTGAATTTGGCACTTGAACAGCTGCAACATAGTATATTTAGCATTTATTACAGCATTTCGGTGGCAATTGTTATCGCTGCCCTGGCCGGTCCCCACTGGCTATATACCGAGGAGAAGTTACCGAATGTTAACTATAATGGGACGGCCAACTTTAATGCACTGGACGATGGCGCCTATGTGACGAAGTACACCAAGTCGAGTCTTTGGATTTTATGCACAACCTTGCCGGGTGAGTGAGTGAGGTATAAATGTAAGGGGAGATGACATCGCGTATACGTCATGAAGCACACACGAAGTGAACGGTCATTGTGCGTTAATAAAGTACAACTAAATGAATGGCAATCACAAACAGCACTGCAGTCAATCAAGCAACGCCACTGATCCAGTCAGTCAATCAATCAAGTATGTAAATAAACGAGACACTGCCGCCGATTAAGCGCCACCTACCGCCAGCCGGTAACTGAACTGATTTATTTGCCAAAAACCTACCCAATAGCTGTCGCCAGGCATGTCATACCGCTCTCCATATAATGGTTGCGCACTGCATAATATTCATTCACAGTCAAAAAGCAGTTATATAATTTTTGTTACATTGCAAGGGAAAGTAATTAAACTGTTCCGTTTCAGAGCCAAAGCTCCAACACTTTAAATGATATCGCCCCTAATGGACGTATCGAAAAATTGTAACAATAGTAACTTATCAAACAAAGGTATCAAGGAGTAAATGTTCCAAAATTCACGTCCCTAGCTTCGATAGTTGTGATACGGACAGACGGACGGACGAACAAGAAGACGAACATTGTCCGACCAAAAAACTCATTGTAGACTTTGGTGAATATTGGATATTTCTGGAAACGATATTGTTCAATAACACATTGGCCATTGTGTGGGATCTTATCATTATCATTGTCCTTATTATCATTATTGCTATTATAGAACTGCTGTGTTATGCATTATTTACAGGTCTAGATATGGACTCATTCAATTGCATTAAAATTGACTACTTTCCAGATGAAGGATATCAACCAGATCCACACGATTCAACGTCCGCCATACCCTGTAAGTGTATATGTATATATATTTATGTATATACATATATATATATATATATATATATGTATATCCTTCTGTATGTAACTTAACTTTTGCCACACTAAAAGTCAGTCTAAAGAGAAGAGAAGGCCGATAGGTAGGAAGGAAGACGGACGAGCAACGCATTCTTTTGCCTACTACAGACTTTTTCATAACAAGATATATATAGGGTGATACCAATATCAGTAGTAAAAACATTTTTATAAAAACAAAACCTAAAATTTAAGTTTGAGTACGTCTTTTTTTTGCCTTTTCAAGTTGGTTTCCCCTATGTTCCTTCATTTCGAATTCATACGAAATAAAAGACCAACGGTTGCAGAGCATTCCGAATGAGTGTTTGTCAATTAAACATACATTTAATTGCGGGATAGAGGCAACGTATCAAAGAGAGCAAATTCGTTAAAGTCAAAATTGGTTTATGCACATGAAAATATCAGTTACAAAAATCCTTTTGCCTTTTAACCGCACCCAGACAACTGACTAAATGCATTTAGGTCGAACTTTCGGAGTCAGCTCGAATATTGTATGTTTGCTGGCATTGACGTTGTAATACATCGCTGCCCATTTTTATTTCTATTTTCACTTCCATTTCCATTTCATTATTATTACATTTTCAATTTCAGTTCATTCGATTTACAGAAACAACAAAACTCAAATATTTCATTAGTTTTTGCTGCTGAAAAGGAAATTTCGACTAATTTAAAAGCCACCGCGGGCGATTGAAAAAAACCATTCGGCAGCAAAATTCACATTTTCACACATATTTTGTATTTTGTTATTTGGATTAAAGCCCGCGGGCCGAAAACACACGGGCAAATCAATGTTTCTAACTTTCCGGTGCAAATCGATTTTGGAGTTCTTTAAACGAGGCCCAATCAAATTGTTGGTATGTCTATAAAGATAACATCTCTTACAATGGACTTATTTTTTGTTAAGATGTAATTATATCTGTCCGTCCACGTGATGGCTTTACTGCCTAAACAAATGTAGGAAATACCGATGCGTGCTCTACTGCAGCTCGAACTTGTAAACTTATTTATTTAAATATGTTGTATGTAACGACTGTCAACAAAAAAATTAAAGCTAAAATACGGTAGATTCACTAAACCCAACTCAATACAAAGAAAACGCACCACAATTTAGTCAGTGATATTATTTTACTATGGTACATTCGGAAGGTGTTAAAGGCAATTTCAATTGTTAAAAATAATCTTTAGTGTAATTGTTAGTATCATTAAAAATTAAACAGAATCATTTTCAAAAAAGTGACTATAAGAAAAGATTATGGGAAATCGCTAAGAAGATGGGGAAAATCCATTAAAATCGGAGCGTGAAAAGAGTCGTGCAAAGATTAATCCGTTGTCTACATTGGCAAGGGTAACGGAGGAGAGTACCTGGGTGGCCTGGAAGATCTCAGATAAGAGTGGAGCCAATATTGTCGGTAATCAAATTGTGTGGCTTATATGATCAAGTGAGCTGGAAATTATTAAAAATGTCGCTCAGGAAGGAGATAAATTTCAGTAAATTAATTAAATTAATAAAGTTGAACCAATCTGGCAAGGTGAAAGAATTAATATAACACTTTTTAAATATCGAGCGAAAACCATATGTTTGAATGCAGAAACTTATCAGTTTTAGCTCTAAGAGAGAAAGAAAATTTTAATGTATTAATGACAGATATAAGACAGGCAAGAGAAAGATTAGGAGCAATAATTATATTGCTGGAAATTGTATAAGTGGATCATGATAAAGCATCATCATAGTCTGTTTGCAAGACAACTTAGATAAGCTTGTTATGTATTACTAAGGATTAAATTTGCTTTTCCTATCCGTCGTTAAGATATTTTGGTCTTTGGAGAGATCCTTCAGTTGGCTTTCTTCAGATGAGCTAATTTTTAATCATCAATAAACCTCATAAATAAATCTTTCAGTCAGCGACAAGCTGACTTACTTGCTAACCATTCGTAAGATCTTAAGGCTATAAGAACTTATGATACAGATTCTTCTATTGCTTGAGAGCTTCAGCTTCGATGATCTCTTCTGTTTCTAAATTCATAAATAACTGGATATTATCTCCCGTTTCTTATAGATACGGTTACAAGGTCATGCCCCATCTTTTTGGGCGCCGGCATTTTATTGTTCATTAGCTTCCTTATCTATATGATACCAACATGTACGCATCGGAAATATATATACTATTTCAGTTCCGGAATACTATTTATTGTAAGTGGTGAGTAATTTAACTTTCGGTTTGCTTGTAGGTATACGTCTTGGAGTGCTGGAGACAATTGGTTAATGTTTGAATGTTATATTATTCCATAGGTCTGATCATGCTCATCGGTCTGATTGCCTATATATCTATACTAAAAGCAGAGATTGGCTCTAAGCTGCGCTCGCGTTCCACGCTGCAGCCGGCACTCTTCAAGGTGAGCTACGGCCAGAGCTTTTTTCTTTTCGTCTTTGGGTTCATTGCCACTGAGTTTGTCGGAGTGCTAAACATTTTTCTCTTCATCAACCTGCACGAGATGAACTATTACAGCGTAAGTATAGCTGCTCGCCGGCCGCAGCATCCGCAACGGTAATTATACATTACTGGGCAAGGGCTTATGGGGAACGGGTAAGAGGAAGAGGTGGGGCAATGGGTTACGACATTTCCTTTTGAGCAAAGCACTACCGGATGACAGGCTTCTGCGGCTTTGAAAAATGCTCAGAGGATTTGAATATTGTTATTTCTTAAGTAAAATTGTAAAAGGAGGAAACACTATGATTAGTAATTAACCATCAATTATAGGCGATATTCGTCTGAGGTATGAATACTAAACATTCTTTATAATAAGCATTTAGATTAGTTTTATGTCTGTTTGTTTCGAAAGTGGCAGCTGTGCTGAACTTTTGAAAGCAATTATAGAAACTAGAGATTAGAGCATTGCATAATCGAATATACCCAGCAATTTATTGCTCTTTAAGCTTATTTTACACTTTTTTAAGCAGCGACTACCCTGCTTTAGTCTGACCAATATACATACCAAAATCAAGGAGGAACAGGATGAGAATGTCCTCGGCTATTCGTACAAACATTATAAGCAACCGGCCACGGCTATTGCTGGCAGTCAGGAGGCGATGCCAGTGGCGCTGCGGGAGCCGCAATATCGCCCTGGCCAACAGCAGCATGTGGGACAGGTGGCACAGCGCTCTAGTAACGCGCGCTTGCATCAGGTGCATGATGCGGGTCGTGGACCCAGCCAGACGCAGACTTTGCCAGCAGGCTATGCGTGCCGCAAGCATCCAAACGCCAATGGAGGCGGCTCCAATTTGAATCTCTATCTGCATAACGATCTGGAGCGTCGGTGAGTATAGGCAGTCAAAGGTTGGACGAAGTTTAAAGTGATATTGGCTGACTCTTTACAGCTTCTACTTTGAGAAGCCGGCGGTCTCCAAGTGCAATTTGCACTCTCGCAGCTTTGCCAAATCATTGAACGAACTGTGCATGGAGCCAGCTTTGGTTACACCACCGGCACCACCGCCGCCGCCAACCGCTACGTTTGCCGATTTGCCACAGGAGTTTCCGCTTACGCGCTCCGTTTCGACCACAACGGATATCTACACGGCACCATCTTCAGTCCAGATGAAGCGCAAACATCTGCGGAATATGGCAACAAACACTCGAACGGACCAGCGCGAAGACGAAGAGGAGCAAACCGCTCGGCTATGTGGGCTAAAGCGCGGCATTCGGAAGACTAAGGATGAGCTGTTCCAGGAGTTCTGCAAGCGTTCTGGCATGCGCACTAAACCTAAGAATATCTATTACATTCCCAGCGAAGATCCGGAAGATGCTCCTCCGTTACAACACCATCGACAAAGCTACGAGGAGAGCCAAAAGAGTCATCAAATCGGTGACGATGACGATGACGCCGATGGCGATGATCATGGTTTCCGACAGTTTCGCTCTGGCCCCTCAATGGAGGAAGAACATCTTTATGTAATCGGCGGTAAATAAATCTTATTTTACTCAGTGAAAACATGAACAATTCATATTTGTTAGAGAAGTCTGAGAATAAGCTGAATCTTGAGAATCAGTTTCCGACTGGTTAAGATGATATAGACCTAATATAGTTAGAGCCCCACATGGCCTAAATAGTTTTGTTTGAATATCGTTAATTTGTAGATTAATTTGATATTGAGAAACGGGGAAGAAGACATGGATAGAACAAACTAAGCTTGATTCACTTACAGAGACCAAGAATTCATAGGCCTAGGGTCTTTATCACAGAAACCAATACCTAGGTCCATGAAAGTTTGTTAGATACTTCCTTATGACCTTATGAGTCTGCTATACTTGTGGCCAATCTCGACTTACTGTAATTTGCCTAACATTTGGGGCTGAAGGGAGTGCCGTGGATATCATATCATATCTTTGGTCACAGGCGTATCTACTTTGTCAGTATCAGCAGGTAATGTCAGAATAAAGAGTTCTGCTGGAGCTCTGAGAATATGTATTATCACGTTTAGTACGTCATAGCAAGAGTTATATTACTTTTCCAATAGTATACAGTATGATGTCACATAATTTCTTATGCAGATCACGCTCAGCTGGTGGTGCCTCGTCGCGTGTCCATGTGTGTGGAGCCAATGATGACTTCGATGGTGCCGTCGCAGCAATTGCGCAAACTCAATTCCAATCTGTCGCTGCACATGCCCCAAACGGAGGTTTGGCCCTGGATAGCGCAGCAACGCTTGTCCTCGGAGCATGGCCAGAGTCGGACGCTGCCACGATGCTTTCTGCGCCAGTCAGCTGGCAGTCAGGATAGTTTAGGCTCACTTCAGAGTAGCTACAGTGCCAGCCAGCAGCGATTGTCGCTGATGCAGCAACACCCGCAGCAGCTGCATCAGCACAATCGCTATCTTTCCACGCTGACGCTGCCACGACCCGTCGACGAGGCTCACATGAAGCCACAGACTCAAACGCAGTCACAGCCACAGCCGAAGCCGGCAGTGCATTGGCCCACAGCCATACCGTCCTCACCATCCAACTATGCCAACGGCTATCCATTGCCGCATCCACTGTACGCTCCGTCTATTGGAGTACCGGTGTCGAGCAGCATAGCCGTATCGCATCCGCCTAAATTTCAGCGTGCTTACGCTTTCGACGACGCCCAACGTCGCGCCAGCCAAGCTAGCTGTGCCGTCTCGGAAGCTTTTGATCTGGACGAGATGGAGCGCGAGCGCAGACGCTCCCATGCCAGTCTCTTCAGTGGCCTCGTCATGCCACAGGCGCGGGAGCAATATGATCTCATCAATGGCACCGCAGTTTAGACCGAAGCTGGAATTTAAATGGAGAACTAAGCGTATATGGCCTCAGTCAAGGCACATATCTTCCAGAAGAAAATAATTGCTGTTGAGCGTTGCATTAGTGTCCATAAATGTGTTATATCTGAAACCCTATCCTGTTTCAATCCTGATGAAATCTTGATACCTATTAATTTTTTCATCCATTCAATTAGGATATTGTTATAGAAATGATTGCACAAAATATATATGTTTGTCACGCTCTACATTGACTTTCATTCTTTGTAAATGCTTCATCCACTTCATAAGATCGTGAATCGACTTCTCATTTCAGATCAAGTAATAAATCAAAAATAATTGTGAATACATTTTTTATTTTTCATATATCCTATGTCTCCTAAAATAATCTATTGGCTCCATTTATCCTAAAAAAAACATTTTCGGATGCTCTATAAATGTGAACATTATCTAAAAACTTCGTTGTCTTTAGTGTCTGCTATCATATTTTATCTTCAGCAACTGAAGAATTTATAATTATTTTAAAACTATATTTAGTATGAAAATTGCATATTTAGATATAGATAATACTGATGTAATTTTGAAATGTGGTCGAGCTGCTAATCTATCAAGAATATAAGCTATATATGTATACATATAACATATATATAATCCGTCTAATCCAATAAAGATTGAAACACTCCTACATACATATACGCATATACATATAAATGTATGTACGAGTGATCTAATCTTTATTGGATTATAAGTAAATGGGACTGAGGACGAATGCTTTGCTAGCCAGGAACGCAGTGGCACAACGCAGCAAGGGGGTCTAGCAAAGCAAACGTCGGATTTCATCAGAGATTCATGCGTTCCCAGAACTCGAGGCTATGTGAGGGAGGTGGACTGGAGGACGCGAGCGATGCGGATGAGACGTTGCTTACCAGCTGAGCGTACACCTCCCCCGTGGCAACAGGTCGGGTGTCCGGACTGCTAGCAAGGCTACTTGAATTGGCCGTCGTGTTGCCAACATCGCTGAGAGCGTCCAGCAGACCCAAAAGATTGGATTTGGCTTCCGTAGCTTTGGGCAACTCCGTTCTGATACTTGGCGCGGTGTGCGGTCGCTGAACTAATGCAGTGGCTGGGCAAGTCGCATTCAATATACTTGTGGGTGCACTCCAAGGACGTGTTGCTATCTTCACTTTAGGCATTGGTGAAGCATCAAATACGGTTGGGCGTTGTGCCGCTTCCCCGACACCAAAGAGCTGATGCATCCTAGCCATGGAGCGCTGCAGTTTACGTCTGGCAGGCGGTGTTACCGTCTCGTCGCCTCTATTGGCATCCACATCTGCTAGAGAGGTGAGCGTGCTGCTGCTGCTAACCAGATCTGTTTCCTGTGCATTATTAAGTTGGGCTTCGGTGGTCAGCAACTGCAGGCTTCCAGGCTTGGAGACACGCGCCAGTGTTAGTTCCACTCGGCTCAGCAGATGCTGTGTGTCGTTCTGCACCTGATCAGCCAATCGTTTGTTCGCCAGCGCTGGTTGTTCCAGTTCCAACTCTGGAAACACTACTGCTGCTGCTGCTGCTGGTACTTTTGCTGTTGCTGTTATTTTTGCTGTTGGCAAGGTGTACGAATTTGACTGAAGCTCTGAGAAGAGCTTACGCCTAGCCACGGCAATCGCATTGGTAAATTGATAACTCTCTTGATCCAGCTCGGACCCGCTGATAATGGGCGAACCGACCGGTGGAAACTTTGTTGACAGATTCACATCGTCACAACGTCGCTGCCACTCGCGAAAGCTTTCCAAGGTGTGATGGATTTGCTGGCGTTCGCGAACACAGCTGGCGCGTATGTTGAGCTTCTGCTTCTGAGCACGCGCACTTTCCAGATAACCCATGAAACTCTGCTCCAGCAGATCACTCTCTTGCTCCAGCTGCAGCATGCGATTTCTGTATGAATGGTCAATTAACATTCAGTTGGATGCCTTATTGGGTCAACTTACTTGGCGTTAAGTAACGCTTCATTGAAGCTGGGCACAGCCTGTGTTTGGACATCTGATATGTGTTGTCTGCTCTGGCTACAGGTGTTAGTCGCAACACTGTTCAACTGCGGCTTCGTTGGCTGAACAGGAGCTGGGGCAGATGAAAAAGAAGCAGCAGGAATATCGGTGGGTGACGATGTACTCAAATCTAGTGGATTATGAAGATACGACGCAGAGACAGGTCTTGTTGATGTCGCAGGTTGAGAGTTAATTGTGGTCGTAGGAGGACGATTGTTTGCAGTCGCATCGGTCCACACGGGCAGAATGCGTGCCGTTTCCTCGGCGGCCAGTTCCGATTGTTGTATCTTCTCCGCTAACAACTGATGGTGTGCCTCGTAGTGTTCGAGCAGTCGAAATATCTTGTGAACCAAATCACGTGCTTCTGTGGAGTGGGAGTCACGCTCCACATGTCGGCAAAGCGTCTACAATGGAATTAAGTAAGCATAAGCAAAAGATTGGGATGAAAGAAGTACTTACACGCCAGGAGCTCTGCCGACGACTGAGGCGCATTAGTTCGGCATAGTGACGCAGCTTCACGTCAAAGAGCTCATCCAGGCGCTGCTTCTGTTGCTCCAATGCTTTGTTCAACGAAAGCTCGACACGTTCCAGAAAGATATGACCGCTTTGACTGTGCAGCATCTCATAAATCCATTGTTCATAGCTACGAGAAGACACAGGCGTTTCAGTAGGAGCTTGATCTGTTTGGCTAGCGACGTCCTTCAAGGCTTCATGTTCTCTGTGCTTTGGACTAGTCGATGTGTGCCGCTGTTGAATGCTTTCCGTTTGGGTAGCGCTCGTCCGCATTGTACGCTGTGGAAGCAGTATTAGGGTTTGGGTGGAGCTGTCCGTCAACTGTTGCTGCCGCGGGCATTGCATGCCCTCCTGGACGCCCATGTAATGGCCATGGGAGAAGCCTTCGCGATAGCCCAGTTTGAAGCCTTTGTGCCTGCCTACGGCATATTCTTGTTCCATAGCCAGATTGAGCACATTGCTCAGCGTCTGCACACAGCCAGCGAGCTCACCTACCAGCGCTTGAAGCCTCTCCAGCGTTATGTACATTGCGTCCTGGGTCTGGGGAGTCTGCTGCTGGTATTTCTGCAAAGCCTGTTGCACTCTTGCCAGGCTGGCCACCTGCTCCACATGCAAGTGCGGCAGCTTTGGCACAGATGGTGACTCCGCTGGCAACTGAATGAGCCCAACCGGAGACAGAACTGTGTTTTTATCCTGTCTCGTCACTTGCGGCTCTTGCTGTTGTGGTAAGTCTGGCAGTTGTATTGCCGTCTGTCCGGGCCCCAGCAGTTGTCCCATACTTAAAAGGCGCTGACGCTCCTGCATCTCTTGCTTTAGTAACTGTTCAAACGCTTGCTGCGTGATAATCTCGACGGGCGGCGCACACGACTTGCAAAGCGACTCCATACAGTGCATTAGCTGGAACAGTTGTTGCTCCACGCCGATCACTGACTGAGAGACGCGTGGTCCAATAAAGACAGTATGTCCATCGGCAGCCACAACCAGTTCTTCGGCTTGATACAGCCGACTCGTGTCCACATTCGGGCTGCTCAGCAAACAGACTGCCGGCTCCGTTTGTGTGCCCTCCTCTGTTTGACTTGCCCAGTTCCTTTGTGTCATCGTGGATTCGTTGATCTGTGGCAAAACTGTGCAACGAGCATCTACCAAGCTCTTGAGCAGCGCTAGCAGTAGCGACTGTTTCGTTATGCCATAAGCCTGATGCACTGTCTCTTCCAGCTTTACTTGAGGCTCCCGCTGCGTTTCGCCAAGCACTGCAGAAAGCACCAAATGCAGCTCCTGCTCGTTAAAGCGAAAACCAGGGCGATTATCGAAGTCGGGCAGCGTATGACGATGCGGCATTTCACTGCAGTAGACGGATAGCGTGTAATGACAATTTTGTTCATAGAGAAACTCAGCGACGAGCGTGTGCAGAGCCAAAGCCAATGGCGACAGCAACAGACACTTCTGCCGCTGACTTAATTGTGCAGAGGTGGACGATACTCGGGTCAGAAGTTGACCTGGCAGCGAATGGAGGAAGTCAAATAAATGCGACACATAGCCAGTTATGCAGAGTCCGTTACTTACCAAGCGAGCTGCTGTTGAAGCTATTGATAAGTTCCATGCGCAGGTGCGTATGCATTTTATTCTCGATGCCCTCCTGTGCCATCCATTTGCGAAACTCTCGCTCGAAATCCTGCTGGGACAACTGTGACAAATGCTCTAGCTGCAGTCGCAGCTGTGCTGTCTCTTTATCGTCGGCGGAACTGGATCCGGAGGTAGCATAGGGGTCGATGGTGGAGTTACCGTTTTCAGCAGCTTTTGTGTGAATCTGTCCATCGGACTGGTTGCGTATTCTAGGTGTTTGCTGTTTACCTTTGTCAAAGCTGGGCTTGTGCATTGAACGCAATGCTGTTAGCGTCGGTGTTGGTCGCCTTAGTTGGACAGCGCGTTTCTGGTGCGCCTGCGCTTCCCTCTCCCTTCTGGCTGCCTCGTGCTTCCGTTCGCGTTCGCATTGCTGCGGCTGCGGCTGTGGATGCAGCTGCCTTAATTTAGTTGTCTCTTCCTCTTTGCTGCGCTGCCTAACGGATATTGGACGACTGCTGCCAGCAGCGCTTGTTGCAGCGGAAGTAGCGGCAGAAGCAATAGCAGCAGTTGGCCTTTGCTTTGTTTTCATTCTGTATTTGAACACTTGCAATTTTGTGCGCATCGGTAGAAGTTTTAGTGCTCAGCTTTAGATTTTCGCTATAGCTCTAATCACAATAATTTTCCTATTTAATCGTGCACATCTTATATGTGATTCACTTGATTGTGTGTAGCTTGTACTATGTCTGTCTGTGTGCCTGTTTATCTGTCTGTTGTTGCTGGCACAACCAGCTCTTGGTAAATAAGTTTAAGACGCTGCACCACGCTGTAGATACCACCGTCAGGTGGTCAATTTTGACAGCAGTGGCAGCGCTGTCTGCGTCGCAGCCTACCTGCGCTCGGCCAAGCGTAAAACTGCAGGTGCAATTGAAACACCATTGAGCGTTTCTCCAATTGCCCATTGCAAGGCCTTTTGGCAGACACAAATATAAAGATGAAGTGCTTGAACACAAACATACATATGTGTGTAGGTATTGCATGGCTGTATTATCGCTTTAGAGCAATCGACAGTGTGACTATCGTTTTTACTTTATAAATTAATCAAGCATGTCAAATATGTATATTTTACCCGTTTGTGAGTTAAAAATAAAATAAATTTCAAATACAAACGCCACAACTGCATGTTCACAGACAAAAGCTGCTTGCGTTGTTAATCGATATATCGGATAAAAAATTTCATCTGTTGCGTCTATCGCTGTAACAGAGCTATCGCCACAGTACCAAAACAATAAGCACGCATTATTTCGTCAGCACATGATTAACATCGACAATTTGTAAGTAAATATAATTATAACACGCATTTGCAAATGACTTTGCGTATTCTGCTTTCCTTTGTGAGGTGGCAGTATTCTTCAATCGTGGGTATACATACATAGACACACATATTTCATATCATAGTTTATCAGCAACAGTAAAATACGCAGTCATTAGTTGGATCAAGCAATTGAAGTTGGCTCGCTTCCATGTCGCAGATAGATAACATCTTCAATCAGGTGCGAGCACGCCTGCAGGCGCAAAGCATCAAACTGTGGGAGGAGCCATACTATTCCGATGGCTTGGGTAGCATTGAGGCCTCAATTGAAGTAAGTACATCAATTCAAATCGCAAAACAAATTGTAAATATTTGCCAATAGTGTCTAGCTGAGGATTACAGTGTCCAACTAGGAATTGATGCCTCAAGATGCAAATATGTGATCACTGAGTTGCAGGATAATGCGCTACGTAAGCTGGCGGCACGGCGAGAATTCACCGAAACGGGAGTCGCCACGTTTAAGGTGCGACGTGTCGATAATCGCAACGGCACCACAAGCATACTGGACATTAAATGTGATCTTAACGAGCTGGGCTCCAAGTTGCAGCAAGTCATTGCGGCCAAGCTGCAGCTGGGAGATGCCAACGAAGTCAAATGCATTGCAGCGGGACGCATCATCTCGCCAAACGCAACGCTCGCTGCACAGGAACTCAAAAACAATCAGCAGCTCATTGTGATCATTGGGCAGCGGGATGATCAAAACGTTGCCCTGCATGAGCGAATTAGCAAGATCAAAGCTGATGTCGAGGCGGTAGTGGCATCCCAGAGTCAGCTTATGGAGGTAGGTTACCGAATTGAAATTGCAATTGAAGTATATAAGTGTAACCTCACTTTAGATGGAAGATCAGGATGGCAATCCGGTGTTTCTGCCGCCGATTGAGAATCGCGCCTTGCTAACAGGCATGGGTTACTGCGAGAAGGCGCGCGTTGCAATGCAACGTGAGGATTATGAGGAGGCGCTGCTGTTGTTACTCGAAGCGGATGAACAGTTTAGTGCGTGTGATTCTAAATTTCTTGAATCAGTTGACAATTATGCACTGCTCAACTTGGATATTGTCTGGTGTTATATGTGCTTGAAGAATGTTTCCCAGCTGCCGGATGCAGATCGACGTTTGAGCATCTGTGAGCGTAATTTCAAGCGTAGCTATGGCGAAAACTATTCGCGTCTCTATGCGCTTAAGGGTCGTGGCTGTCCAGAGCGCGCGCTCATTATGCGGCTGCAACTGCTTCAGGGCGTCGTGCTTTACCATCAAAATCAACGAGATGCCGCCTATGAGCGTTTCGAGGCAGCTGCCGTTGTACTAAGCGAACTGAAGGTGAACGATGAGCAGTTGTTGCTGCTTGTCGAAATGGGCTTTGAGGTAAGTGAGGCACGCCTCGCCTTGCGCTCCAGCTCTGGCAATGTGGAGCGAGCAGTGCAGTATATACAACAGCGCAAGCAGCAGCTATCAGATGCTCGCAAGCAATCGAAGGGCGAGCGGGCCATGCATCGACGCTATGCCAAGCATGCGACCAAAGACAAGGACTGGGTAAATCCTCGAAGTGTGTGCACTCTTACCGAAATGGGCTTTGAGCGCCGTTTGTCGGCGGCAGCACTGCGACGCACTGAAAACGATGTGCCACGTGCAGTAAGTGAGCAGTTGCTACGGCTTCAGATATAATTTTATATGTCAGTTTTAATCACTGTAGGTGGAACTGCTGCAAACCAATTCCGCGGAGCTGCGCGATACATTGCCTGAATCGCAAAGCGTGGACGCAGTGCAGCTGGCTGCCTTGTTGCAGCTCGGCTTTAAGGAACCAGCTGCTCGGGCTGCTCTTGAGAGCGCAGAAAACAATTTGGAGCAGGCGACGGATTTTTTGCTTAAAGCCATACAGAGCGAGGAGGAGCTTCTGCAAACGGTGGAGCGTGTTACACAATTGGCTAGTGGTGGAATGTTCAATTTGGATGGAGCATCCACTTCACAGGCAGCCGATGTGACACCAAGCGGCTTCCTCATAGATGCCGTGCTGCAAAAGGCTAAGGCCGAGATGGAGGCATATCAGGCGTTCAAGCGCTTGAATGCCGATCTGACACACAGTGATCAGGATTACTTGGACTTGCCGTTGCTGCAGGAGGAGCAATTGCTGGCCGAGTATCGCAATTTGCTAGAGCAATAAAACGAGGCAACTGCCGATGTTGCGATTTTTGCCTTGTTGTTAGTGCCTAAGCGATTGAATTTAATTACGTTCGATACAGCGGCTCCGGCACGCTATAAAAACCGGTTTAATACATGCGGATAACTGTAATCATGACTTGTGTATTGCTAATCATTCACTTATAATGGCACTTAAGTGGCGTTCGTCTTGCTGCTCCTAGACTCCGCAATCTCCTGGCCTGTCTACAAATCTGTCAACAGTTGGCATCGCACATTGTATCATATATACAGAACATACTTATTTTTATATTTATATATGCAATGTAATTCGCTATTTATTCGTGCCTTATGTCAGTTCATTTTACTTAGTCAGCAGACTTTGGATCACTAATTTGCTGGCTCTACTAGGGACTAAAGGTTGCTCAGCTATTGCTGCAAAAAGTACGTTATATATTAAAATATAGTTTAACATTTGGAGCGTGGCATGTGTAGCAATTTACTGACCCAAGCAATTAGCTACATCCTTTTATTAGGGAATTTCCCAAAGGATTTCGTCTTTTTAATGTGCGATAAAATATATATATATATTTATGCATTAATTTCGTGCTGATATTCCCAGTCTTCAAGTAACATCAGCTACTGCCAATTATCAGAGCAAATGAGGCGCAGACGGGCTGTAATGTAACGGTCGGAGAGAGAAGGCCGGATATTTGGGATTCGTATACATATCTACATATACATGCGTGTGTATGTGCGCGTCTAAAAAGCCTCAATTGTTATCATTCAATAGTTTTAGAGTCTGTAATTATCATGGTAAATTGATATATGTAATAATGCTTTTGTTTTGGTCGTTTTGACAAGGTTCAATAAAATTAAGAAATTTTAATAATAAAAATTTGTACGTATATTCTTATATTAAGACGTATATATTTCAGATTTTAAATACTAAATGCAATATCAATTTCCTTGAGATAAAAAACGTTTCATAGCTATAAGAAATCGAGTTTGATTACCGACTGACAATACCGAAATCTTTAGGAAAAACTGGGTTTAAAATTCTAGACTTTAATAGCTTCCTGAATGTTCCGAGTTTGGTTTTCTGTATAACTTAAATTGCTAATTGGGATCTTTAAGTGTGGATTGTTTGTGTTTAATAATAATAAGTGTATATCAAGCCATTGTGATACCCTGTAGACTTTTTACGTCATCATAAATTAAAGCCGAGCTGTATGACCTACGAAGTTCTTAAATGCTTGCATACAGTTGATTTTTGTTAAATTAGTCTAAAATTTACCTTCTACTTGATTAATTTCTTCTGATTCTGACAATCAAGATAGTCGATGTATAAATCGACACCTATTGTTATACAGATTGATAGGTCCTGATGATGTTCGATAAATACCAAAATATTATACATAATTTCGATATTTTGAAATATGAAAATGATCAGAGATATGCACTTTACATTTGCTATCTGTGTACCCGGAAAATATTTTATGTATATAGTATAGTTTGTTGAAAAATCCATCAGATCTTCATAGATCACAGATTTAACAAAGATGAAATTAAATTGAGCTAACAACGAATGCATTTTTACTGACAGTCCCGAGGTAAAGGGTATCTCTTAGTCGAGACAGGTTAATTTTTTATTTCTGGTTCTTTCGGTTTCGTTTTTAGCTTTAATTCCTTCTTTTTCCACCACTTAATGGTTTTTAATAGCTTTAGCAATTATACGTACGTTATACGCAGCGAAGCGCAGCTTTTGGCCATTTATTCACAAACGGATTTCACATTGTTCTTTTTTTTTGGCCAGAACGGTTCTGGCTTTGATTTTTGGCCCAACTAACTAAAATGTTTCCTATTGCGTTATTATTGACTGATATTTATCAAATGAATGAACGTTTGCTTCATTAATGACAATGTCGAAATTTCACAGTTGAATAGATCGCTGAACTTATAACCGCTCACGCACCGAAAAATGTGTATTTGTTTTGGGTTTACTCTATCCTTCTTTCTCTATTAATTTGAAGCATTGGCAATTAGGAATATGTACTTGTCGCTTGTACCCCCGTTTAAAAAATGTTAAACTAAGTAAGTCTTCTGAAAGTGTGGAAAATCAAAAAATTAATCTAGATCCCCTAATGACATATGATCGAAGTTAGTGAAATTTAGATATATCATGTTTTGACAGCTACGCATATTTATAATGTTACAGCCACAATACCAACAATTGACCGTTGAGTTAATATTGACTTCATCTACACATCCCAACAAAATAATTGATGTGGGACTGGCAATCAGAAAAAACGATGTCTCCCAATTGGCTGTCTGTATAGAGTACCGTTAATTTTGTTTTTCTACAAAATATAAATATCAAATATAAATTAAAACATTCCTTTTTAAATCATTTTAGCTGTTTTGGGGGTATGGTGCACGAGTATTGGGTGGGGAGATAGGCTCGTAATACATCATTTACATTTACATACACATGTAAATTTCAGGTATTTGAATCGAAATACTCCTGAAGACCGCCACCTTATAGGCAAGCACTACAGTTCTATCTATATATATATATATATATATATATATTATATGGAAAGTATAGATGCCAATTGATTGATATTAATATCCAATTGGCATTACAGCTGTTTATTATAGAAGTTAAGGCATTCTTAATCTGCTTGAATTTGTTTTTCTTTTTTTACCTCTGTCTTGCAGCTGTTTTTTTTAATCAATGAAAGAACTTTTGTGCGAAATGCCTAGAGAACCACTTGGAATAGGGAAAAATATTTGATCAATGAGTCATTGTTTTGGTTAAATTTTAATTGCACATTATGAGTCCTTCGCCTTAGAGTGTTATTCAACTGTCGGTTCCGGATGGCCGAACTTTAATTTGAATATTATTCGTAACAGTCGCAATGCCAAATTGATAAAGATCGAGTTCCAGCTCATTAACGCTGGCTGGTTCCAAAGTACGACTGTGCGGGCACGACTTCCCACTAGCGATGACTTTTAGTTTTTGTTGGCCAGATATGACTATGAATCGAAGAACTGTAATATCATGAATTAGGGGGGCCGTCACATGTTGCTTTAATATATGGAATTAGCTTTTGGGGAAATGGTGCAGCAATTAATACCGTGATATTTGACATTTCAATTGCCAGCGCTCTGCGTTCTTCTGATTTTTGTTGTTGTTTGTTTATGGCCACAACTTTTGGCCCTGGCGACTGCACGCAAACAGCCTAATGAAAATATATACAGTTAGAACAGATCACGGAAGAGTTGAGCGCCGGCCGCTGCGATAGGGGGGGGGGGGGGAGATGGTCTACCGGAATGTTGAACGAGCTGCAAAGCGTTGCGTTTGCGATCGGGTCTCAGGTAAGAAGGCGCCCCGCCAGCCGATCGTCGGCTTGAATCGCTTGACGTAGCCGCAGCTGCGGAATTAAATAATTTTCCGTAAGCGCGCTTTGTGAAGCTCAGTTCAATTGCGGCAAGCGTTGTCAACGGACGTCTCTTCAAAGCCCACTGTGCAGCTATTCAACGGCAAGCTAACTTCGACTTCGACGCAAGCGCAGCCAGCCAACTAAACAGTACAAGCAGAAAAGAAGTATTTAGAAGTGAATGCAAATGATGCAATCGCATACAATCACAACAGCAAAACAGTGAACAGAGAATAACGAAAATAGCAACAGTTCCAGCTACCAAAACCCTGCTGTGCGTGTCCGGGTGCGTGCGTGTGTGCGTTTTTGCTTATGCTTATGCTTATGCTTATGCTTGTGAGTGTATGTAAATGAAGTAACAACAACAACAACGTGTGATCACAACAAAAAGAAACGCATTGAAAGTAAAACTTGGCGTCGCTCTCTCACACCCGAAAGCAACAACCAATACCCGAAATACTATTGTAAAGAAGAAAAAGAAAGAAAACCAACGTTAAAAGAGTTAAGCGATAAACAAGCCCAAGCCGTGTCTTGGTATTTTGTTTTTTTTTTTTTTTGTTTTGTTCCCATTTACTTGTGTACGTGTGCGTGTGTGAGAGAGAAATAGAGAGTGACGAGAAATAAAATTGGCAAAGTGCAGTTTGTAAGTCAATTGAATTGCATCTAATTCCAGTTTAGTTTCCAACTCAAACAAAATTAACTATTACTAAGCAACAAAATAATAAAAGAAACAATATGACCAATAAAGGGCAGTGGTATGGACAAGGGAAGGGAGGAGGAGGTGGGGATTAGTGAGGGTCTATGCTAGTGTAGGTTTGATTAAAGCCTTCGCGCTGTTTTGCTTGCGAGTCCGTCCATGCGTCCGCAAGTCTACAGCTGTTTTTAATCGCTATCGCTTTCGGTTCACTTTTTTCTTTCTTTCGCTCTTACTGTTGCCGTTGTTGTTACCGCTGCTGCTGCTGCTTTCTTGACACGTTGCAGTTGTTATGGTTGTTGTTTCTTGTATTGCTATTGTGTAGGGCAATTGTGTAGTTGGCTTATTGTTTCACCCACGAAGGGCCTCTCTTCGGAGTTGGCAACAAAAGAAAATACCTTACCCAACCGCAACAACAACAAATGCAATAATAATAACCGAACTTCAAATATAATCGAGCCTGATCTAATAATAAATCATTTTAGTTGCACCTCATGGTACCTATTCGATATGCCAACTACTTGTTATCCAAATCTTCACAGTTATAGTTTGCTTCTCGCCGAAGAATCAGCCTTGCTCTGGGGCTCCAATCTAAGTGAGTTTAATCAAAATCTTAAGTTTTTCCTTGGTGGTTATGCTTTCTATATAAACATGATGGCATCATTTCAGTTAAACAAGTGAAAATGCAAGTAAATTTTATAATTCGAAAACTATAGAGAATACATTTCCTACTCTGACCTTCCTTCCCTCTTTTCATAGTTTACTCTATACTGTACCAATATATTTTCTAATCATACTTAATTTATGTACATATTGTATATTAATGCGTTTGTTTGTCTTCCGAGGCACACTTGATTCTTGTCTTTTGACTAAACAGTAATAACCGGTTTAGCTGACACTTTTATTTATCATATGATTTGAAAAATATCTTCTTATATATGTGCATACACTAAATGTTATATGTAGATACTCGCATTATATAATATATAACATCAGCTTCTTAAGTTGTTTTGAGTTATTTTAAAAACTTGACTTGAAGCCTTGCCAAGCTTACATTGAGCGCTTGTCTAATGCCAAATTAGCGAATCTTAACGTACTTAATACGGGTATATATATATATATATATATATATATATATATATTTATATATATATAGAAGACTTATCAAGATTACATCTATTTATCCATATTTATACTAATTCAATAGGGAAATATTATATTGCCGTTGTGAAATTTGTAATACATACTCGTGATATTCACGTCTGATTTCACCGATGAGCCCATTGGGGCGTGGCATATCAGGTCAAATTGCATTGTCCACTTTTTTAGAGCTTATCTGGCTGAATCTGGCTTGTGAGTTACTGTTAAGGTCCTCTAAAACTATGTCCACGCCAACAAGGGGGCGGCAAATCGGATCCGATTATATGGTGATTTATACAAATAATGTAAACGATATTGGTGATAAAGACCTGAAATTCGGAAAATCGACTGCGCTGAAAATATATATATCCTACACCTATAGGGGGCGTGGAAAGCCGTAAAATTCTATGTTTGTTGAACAGTCAATCGATACAAAAAGTAGCTTTCTGAACTAGATGATGTTTTCTTGCTGCTTTAAAGTTGTTCTCTGCACTAGTTTTGCAATAAGTCATTCACCATTTGTAACAAATATTATTCCATTAATCATTCAATCAGACTAAGACGCTTTCTTATTTTTTTATTGTATTCAAGAACTATTACTATTCTATGTCTATTTTATTTAAATTTTTACAGTCTGTCAATCAAAAGATCTCAGTAGATTCAACTTTTATTTGTGTAATCCAAGAAATGCTGTTAGAGAATTTTACTTTCGGTGTGAATGCTTTCACTCTTCGGAGTTCTTTTCGTCCATATTGTAGCAACACTTTGCAGATTCACCAGTTGTAGAAGTGAGCAGCAGACCCCTTGACAGATACTCGCTTGCATATAGTACAGGTAGCTGGACTTGATTGCATTGCGATGCTTGACCTTGTCAGTTGCTGAGCGGGTTAAAAGTGGAAGCGAGCGAGAGAGAGACAGAGACAGAGAGAGAGAGAGAGAAAGAGAAAGAGATTGTTTGAAGAGACAGAGTCGTAGAGCGAGAGAGTGAGACAGGGAGAGAAACAGGGACTGAGAGAAAAAAATATAAATAATATACAAGTAAAGTAAAATCAAATAAGAGCGTTGCAGTTGGGGTCTATTAGCTACAGAATACTTGCTGGTGATCCAAAAAATATTCTATTTTATGACAAAATCTGTATTTTTCGTAAAATAACTTCAATACTATTTGTATAGATAATACATTTCAGTTATATTATTTGGGGGAGTTGGGAGACAATATATTTCATTCAGGATGTTTCATATAATTTCAAGTCGTACTGCAGCTACCAGACACTGGGATCGTATTTGAAAGCCAGTAGATCAACCAGAGCCTAGGAGTAGATAAATAAGCGTTTTGATTTTACGTGACAGGGCTAGGGCTTTTTACAGGGGTATACTACATTGGAAAGTGCAATATACTCTTTTCGCTTCTTGGACGCGAATCGATAATTAAAAACTTGGCAGCATTTTCCATGCGTTCAGCTTAGAGCATATAAATAAATAAATGCGATGTACTTATTGATTATTATATTGCTCGACGATTATTGTAATATTTAAATAGCCAACGATGCCTTGCTGCCAACGATAATTTTTGCCGACTCATGCTGATAATGATGATCGCTGGCAGATCGTATCCCAATTTGTATATGCGTATGTATGAATATTGAAGTGATCGCAATGCCAGGGAGTTCAGAGTGTTCTAATGCTTATATAGTATATACGTTTGTATGTATATTTCGAGAGCGACAGCTATGTAAATTTAAGTGGGGATAATATTCAAAAAAATTGAACGCATTATATTATAAAGTTCGCACGGGACGCAGGGGCGATTACGCGAAACGAGTTTGCTATTATTTCTGTTTAAATATATTTATTATTCTATTTTTTATTCCATTTATCACACATGCGAACGATTCTCGTCTCAGACGTTTTTAACTCGATTTGAATGTGTGATTTTTTTCTGTTTTCCAGTTTTTTTTTAGTTAGTTGAAGACTCATGGCCAAGGCCGCGTACTTAATAAATAGATAGCTCTAATTGCTTATGTGTGTGTGTGTGTGCGTGTGTGTATATGTGTTTGTCATAAATTGTGCTAAAAGTGCCTGACCGACATTTTTATACAACCGACGTTTTTGCCACTGGTTCATATTGTTTGTTTTCTATATATATATACATATATAACCCAGATATATATATATATATATATATATATATATATATATATATATAATATATATATGGGTTGCACTTTGTAGAGGTGTTGTTGCGTCGTCAGCGCAACTCACAACTGTTATTTGCCATTTTATTCCCTACATTACTAAAAGTGGGTATACGTGGTTTATGGTTAGCATATGTTTGACAGGCAGAAGAAAGAACTAATCGACAAACTTTTTATACCAATACAGATCCTAGACAATTGTAGCTTAGCTTATGCACATGTATTCATATTAAGTAGGTCGGCAGGGTATCCAATAGCCTGCCACACCACACTTGGTGAATCTTACTCGTTTGTAGTTGACTTTGATTAGTGGCTGGCCCTAGCCACCTGGCTTGTAGATGTCATTTAGCAAGCAGTTGAAGTTGCAGGCTGGCAAGCATGCGGACTCTTCTAATCTTAATTGCTGCAATTATCATTAATTTGGCGGCTTTGGCCCATCTCCTTATGGGGGTGAGGTAGGCTTTCACTTTTTATGCACCACAAAACCTATTATATTATTAGTGTTTCACTTATTGGCATGCTTAAGCCTTCTGCCTATTTTTTAACATTCAGTTAAAGTACACTTCACTCACTCGGGCAGTGTCAACTTCATAAATTGGCAGAACTCATTGGAAAGTTGCCTATAAACTCGGTTATAACTGTTTAATTTGTACAGTTTAACAAAATATTCTTTGACGTTGCAACTCCCCCAAATCCTCATGTCAAATTGACCATTTAGCCATTTGAAAAATAAATCTCAAGCTTGATGGTTAGTTTCAACGATTTGCAGGATTGGATGCTTTTTATATATCAATTTATCTATAAGTTATATGTGTATAATATATATATATATATAGTTTTAGTTTTTTTTTAGTTTTTTCTTGTTGTGGATTTCGTTTTAATAATATGTTCTACTGTTGAAAACAGATTTCTAGATATTTCTGAAGCCTCGCATGCCATTGTATTTTTTACTTCCGCACACAGATAAAATATATTGATAAAATGCTAACTGTCACGTAATGTAGTAATGCCGTCTTCAAAGCTGTCTCCAAGATGGTGTCATAAATTCTTTGTTTCTTCTGAAATATGAGTGAATGCACCCACAGTGCAATTAAAAGTGATTACCTTAAAGTTGTGAAAGAGATCTATAGTATGATATCACTTAACTAAAGGCTATTGTTTAGATATATTTGGACGTCATCTAAGCAGCAGAAGATACAATAGTCGAATTAATTGGAGTCTTAGCTTTTTCTGTTTTATTTTAATTCGCTTTCGTAATTCTAAGCTATTTTAATCAATAACAACAAGTATATGTAATACCGTAACAT